ATTATTATACCTCGTATTTCTCCGATCTTGATTTACGAGTTGGCCGGACTTTTGCGCAAACTGCCACGACAAACAGAACAGCTAAGATCACCGGTAACACGATAATCAACATCAAATTCCTGATGAACCGGTCTGCGAACAAAATACAAGCAAAATAATTAATGCGATGGCTTGGCTTGCATAAGGAGAGTGGCTTCCCAATAACACGTCCTAACAATTTCGAGTCAAACCTCAAGTCCATTAACTCCATAAGCTTAATTCTTACAATTCTGTCATTTTGTGTATGATATGCGGTTCAAGGTATTACTATATTTGACACCAAGTGTGTGACCATTCAAATGAAGAATATGGAGCTTGCTTTAAAAAGTATGTGGATAGCTCCAGCATGTCACCAGTTAAATGACAATATTGAGCGATTCTTTCTTGCAGTAGGCTTTTTTTGTTTCATGTGTAGGGAGCCTCTTCCTATTAATCATATAAGTCGGACAAGGGCCAGGGGCGGATTCGGGGAGTGGGGTGGGAGGCTAGCCACCCTCAACCCTTTTTGGAAAAGCAAAACATAAAGTTTTTAAAAAGATTGTGAATATTATGGCAGAAATAAAAGCAAACTCCCGGACAGGTACGTCATTGTAATATTTACATTGTTGCATTGCTAGTTTTCCTGTTATAACAGTTTTCAATTTAACAGGTCCCAATTCTCAAATTGCAACATTTTGGGGGGCACGCCTCATTGATTCTGCAACCCTAAAGTACAAGCCATCCCCACCCCCCTTGGAAAATCCTGGATTATCCAAGATTACTAATCGATTTTGATAATTTGTGCACCTGAGTGCTCCTTATAAATCACTAAGAGGCTATGTTTATACCCATTGTACTTACATGCAAATTGTAGAAACTAGTCAGCAAAGTTTACCGCAAATATAACACTTACCAGGTAGTGTGCTTTGTGTTATCATAACACCATTAGATCTTCCATATTTGTTGTTGCTTGACACTCGAATACTGTACTCTGTTGAGGGTTCCAAATCCTCCATCGTCGTTTTCGTCCGAGAGTACGGGAGTGTCTGTATCACTGTGAAGTTACCCGAGGGTTCTGTCTTTAGCTCGATGGTGTAGTTTTGTATCTGATAAAAGTCCCCATGTTTTGGCGGATTCCAACTCAGGATGATGTATTGTGTCTGCACATTTATTGCCCTCAAGTCTTCAGGGGG